CTTTCTGTCTATAATTTTCTATCTGTCTATATGGGCCTAATATTTTCTATTGATCTATCTAACTCCGTTCATATCTATCTATTTATTCATGTCTATCTATCCATCTAATTTGGTATATAATTTTCTATCTAGTGAATTGGGTATAATATCAATCTATTTGTCTATTTATCTAAGTCCGGTTATATCTATCTATATATTTCGCTCTGCCCATATATTTCTGTTGCTATTTCTTTTGGTCTATAATTTTTCAATATATATATCAGTCTGTTCATATCTATCTATCTATTTCTGTCTATCTCTTTCGGTCTATAATTTTCTATCTATCTGTCTATCTATTTGGGTCTATTATTTTCAGTCTATCTTAGTCTGTTCATATCTATCTATCTAGCTAACTAGCTATCTTTTTCTGCCTATCTATCTATCTATCTATCTATCTATCCATTTCTGTCTATCTGACTGTCTCGTAAGGTCAATAATTTTCTGTCTATACATTTGGGTTTCTATCTATCTATCTATCTATCTATCTATCTATATATATATATATATATATATATATATATATCAATCGGTTCGTATCTATCTATCTCGGCCTCTTCATTATCTATCTATCTATCTATCTATCTATTTCTGTCTATCTGACTGTCTCGTAAGGTCAATAATTTTCTGTCTATACATTTGGGTTTCTATCTATTATATATATATATATATATATATATATATATATATATATCAATCGGTTCGTATCTATCTATCTCGGCCTCTTAATTATCTATCTATCTATCTATCTATCTCTTTGTCGCTTAATGAACCTTCACATATCACTGTATCCCATTCCATCAGCATCACACACCCCCCCCCACACCGTCAAAAGCGTTACTGTAATCAACGTCTTCATAAAAACCTTAGATCGAATCACGGCCAATGCCACCTACCTCATCTTCAGCTCATATTCCTGCTGATTTCTTTTTTTCCCCGGTTTTTTTCTGGGAGAGAGATTCGATTTTTTTTCAACACATTTTCTTTTATCCTTTCCCTTTTTCTGTTTATTTGCTATTTTTTTGTATGTTGACGGGGTCTGTATGCACGTAAATGTGCGTGCTTATAGTCTCAATGCACGTTGTTTGTGCACGTTTATGTGTGTGAAGATGAACCCGAAAAAGTTTCTTCTCTTCTCAATTACAATTTCTTTTATTGTTTTCTTTTTCCTTCCATTTCAAGTTTTGTTCTTTGTTTGATCTTTTCCTGTTTGTTCTTTTCTTTTTCTACATCTTCTATCGAACAGAGAAGAACAAATTGAGCCAGCCAGTAGTGAATCACTTTAGGTTATGTTATCTATCTATCTATCTATCTATCTATCTATCTATCTATCTATCTATTTCAGTTTGTTCACATCTATCTATCTATCTATCTATCTAGTAGAGAGATAAATAGATAACGGACAGACCAAAATAGATAGATAGATAGATAGATAGATAGATAGATAGATAGATAGATAGATAGATAGGGTCTGTGAGTGTTTCAGTATACACACACACACACATATATATATATATATATATATATATATATATATATATATATATGTATATATATCAGGCTATCCATATCTATCTACATATCTTCCTAACTCAGTCTATTCGTAGCTCTCTCTCTCTCTCTCTCTCTCTCTCTCTCTCTCTCTCTCTCTATCTATCTATCTGTCTGTCTGTATGTGTCACAGTTTTCATATCTAGCTGTCTGCCTGTATCAATACCTACCTACCTACCTACCTACCTACCACAGTCACTTCATTATCTATCTATATATCTGAGCTTTTTATCTATCTGCATTGATTTTCCCTTAACTTTTTCCTTTATTTTACTGTTCATCTATCTATCTATCTATCTATCTCCTCGTTATCTACCTATCCAATAACTCCAGATCTATCTATCTATCTATCTCTTATGTATATCTATCTCAGTTGATCCATATCTATCTAAGTCACTATCTATCTATCTATCTATCTATCTATCTATCTATCTATCTATCTATCTATTTCTGTCTGTCTATATATCCGTTTCTGTCTATCTATCTATCTATCTATTTTGCCGGTTTGTGTTCCGAAGTTTTAATTTCATTTCCTCCACATCCACTTGAACTTTTTGATTCCAATTCTAACCGTTTCTATTTTGCTTTCTTTCTTTTCATCTTTTATTCTATCACTTTCCACTCTCTCTCCCTCACTCTTCCTCTCTCTCTCTATCACTTGTTTCGAAAAACCTCCCTCCCTACCCTAAATTCTTCCTATACTGTATCCTTCCCTCTTCACACTCAATCTTTTTTCTACCTTCTCCTTTCACTCCTGACCATTCCTCCCACCTGCTTTTATTTTACTTCCTCACCCTCCCTTTCCCCAATGCGTCTTTATCTTCTCATCTCTTCAACACCCACCCACAATATCTGCCCCGTCTTTTTACCCGAGGCTGTTGCCCTTGGTGCTAACCCCGCAGTTGTTCAATGATCGAATTGTCCCTGCCATTTTTTTTTTTTTTTTGCGCTTTCCACGATCCTTTTTTTCCCGCCAATTTTTTATTCTGCCCATTCTGTGAATTTGTTTGGAATTTTTTTTGTTTACCCATCTTTGTATGTGTCATAAATCGCTATTATTGTACTTCCATCTCCTCTGTAATCGTTGTTACGATCCAGCCTTAGTATTTTTTCACACTCTCTTTCCGAATTCTTTTTGTTGAGTGACATTATGCTTGTTTACACTTGTAATTTTTTTTTTAAAAATGCACCTAACATTTAGGTAAAGCGTACAAGAATGATATATATCTACATACATACAGATATACTTAGAGGTATGTATACAGAGTGCGATGGATAAATTATCGGCATAATACGCAAAAATGAAAATAATACTGCCATCTCATTTTAGCATATATATTTACCAAAATTACACAAAATATCTTGAAATACTAAACAGTATATTTGTTCAATAAAATCACCATTGGCTTCAATCACGGGTCCCAGACGACTTCGGAATCTCCTGCAACTCTTCTGGACGGTCTCCTTGTTTATGTTGGTGAATGCTGCTATAACCCTTGCCTTCAGTTCATCTTTGTTGTTACAAGGAGTTTTGTTGGTCTCTTGCTCAACTGCGCTCCAAATAATAATCAAGGGGTTGCAGTCTGGGGAGTTAGTTGGGAGTTAGTTAAGGATGATGTGGTCGCAGAAATTGTCTGACAGCCCCGAATGGGTTCTCCTGCTTGTGTGGTATTGTGCAGAGTTCTTTTACCAGACATAGGGTCTTCCAAAAGCCATCCTCTTAGCCCAGGGCAACACCACCTCCTCAAGTCACTTGATGTAGGCCTCCAACAAATTTGGGCGTTCTTTTCTCATCAGAACAATCAGAGTGAGTTTTCCAAGATGCCGTACCTTCGTAATCACCTTTAGACTAATCCAACTCTTTCCAAATCCTCCGCACCGTCACCAAATTGACACCCAAACACTCTGAAATTTTCGTATTGGAGCTTCCGGCGCAAATGCCAAACAGTACAGCATGTTGTTCCCAAATTTCTGGCGGAGTGAATTGCACCATGGTGTTCTTTTTCTAACAGATGGTGCCCAACTGATCCTACTATTCTATGCATGCAAGAAATTTAAAAACATAAAACTGCGGCAATTTACTCGTCGCACCCCTGTATATAGAATTCGGCTGATTGATGGGCCGATAGGCTAACAGGAATGAAAAATAGATAGATAGATAGATAGATAGATAGATAGATAGATAGATAGACTGAGAAAGAAAGAAAGAAAGAAAGAAAGAAAGAAAGAAAGAAAGAAAGAAAGAAAGAAAGAAATAGACTGAGATAGATAGATAGACAGATAGAAAGAAAGAAAGAAAGAAAGAAAGAAAGAAATAGACTGAGATAGATAGATAGATAGATAGATAGATAGATAGATAGAAAGAAATAGACTGAGAAAGAAAGAAAGAAAGAAAGAAAGAACGAAAGAAAGAAAGAAAGAAAGAACGAAAGAAAGAAATAGACTGAGATAGATAGATAGATAGATAGATAGATAGATAGATAGAAAGAAATAGACTGAGAAAGAAAGAAAGAAAGAAAGAACGAAAGAAAGAACGAAAGAAAGAAATAGACTGAGATAGATAGATAGATAGATAGATAGATAGATAGATAGATAGATAGAAATAGACCGAGAAAGAAAGAAAGAAAGAAATAGACTGAGAAAGAAAGAAAGAAAGAAAGAAAGAAAGAAAGAAAGAAATAGACTGAGATAGATAGATAGATAGATAGATAGATAGATAGATAGATAGATAGATGTTTTTTCACAATAAATCTAGCATTAACCAACCGAATCTTTTAGGATATCTGACCTTATAGAAAGTATAGATCGGTTTTATGAGCCATGTTCTTCACTATATGTGTGATCATAGTTCTCCATAACGTCCTCTCCTTTGTTACTCTAAGTAATCTTACTGTTCTTCATAGTCCTTGTTCTGCCATCCATTTACATAAGCTGGTTGGGTAGGTTACTTGATGATTCCTTATGCCCCCCTCTTGCATTCAGTATTTCCTATGAAATTAAAATTCTCCAAGCCGTCTTTTCTCATTATGTGTACCAGATATTTTCACTGTCTCTTTCTGATTTTAAACAGGTGTTCTTTTCGTGTATATTTTTCTTAAAACGTCCTCGTTGCACATATGTTTTGTACATAATATTCTCAGCATCCTTCTGTAGTAATGCATTTCCGTTGCATCAAGTCTCCTCTTTATCTGTGAGGAAATTGTCTAGCATTGACTGCCATATAGAAGAATGGATATTCTATAGCAGTTCTGCACATTTTTCTTTTTTTCTAACGAAATTTTCCTGTGACCTTAATACTTTGCTTACCCGTTGAAAGGCATCTTTCTCTATTCCGATGTGCCTTCGTATTTTTTATGGTACAATGTCAGCCGTCTGTTAAAACACTTTATAGATAGTTAGTTTTTTTTTTGTTTTGTTTTTTTTTTTTTGCACTTGCTTGATTCTGAAGACCCAAATATCTAGATGTCGCATCTTGATCTCTCCAGCTTACTAAAAACCATACATTCTGTCTTCTGTCTTGATGGTTAGATCTTTGATAAATTACCAGACAAGGATCCTCAGGAAGGGTAGAAAGTAACTAGGCACTAAAAAATTTTTAATATCACTGAAGTCATGATGAAAATACTTTTTTTAAAAAATAGACAACACTAATAGCGATTTCTTATTCCCGTGCAGACGCTAAAACCTGAAGATAGTGGCCACAGAATTGATTATGGAGAGTTAATGCTAGGTTGGCATGACGATTGACCTGTATTGTTTGAAAACATCCTCTGGAGTGATGAGGTTGTATTCCACGTTGGTGTTTTCATCAATCGTCACAACTGCCATTACTGGGCGTCGTGTGATAACGATCCGAACATGACGGTTGAAAGCTCGACCAAAATTGACCGTGTGCTGCGGAATGAATACGGACAGCTATATTTAGATGCTCGAAAATTACGTGTAGCCCACGGTGTCTGGCTGGGATAACACTGGCAATCTAATATTCATTCAGGATGATACACCACCCAATTTTACGGTTACTCTCGGTGCGTGGTTTGACCAACATTTTTTAGGACATATTTGCTCTGGTGCTCTTGTTATACATCTCGAGATTCTCGACAAAATTCAAGGAAGGGTCTGCAATGTTATCAGTCCTGATCTGGCATCTCAATTTACACTACATTTTTTCATCCCCGTAACACGCTTCTCTGTCTTTTTTTTTAATAAATGTTTTCATGTCAATTGTTCTAATGTTCTTCCTTGCCTTGGTATGTCGACCGCATGAATTTAAATTTGCCAACTTAGTCTTATCTTTTTATTGTTGAACTAGTTAGATGTATGTACTATTATAATAGTTTCTTCTCTTGCATTTCTCGCCCGTGTAATTCTGTTCCGGTTTCTTGCATTCTTGTCAAGTAAAATCTTCGAAAGTTTAAAAGTAACATCATTCTACAGGGTTGGTGGAAAGTAATTAGGCATTAGAAATTAGGCATTGGGCATTAGAAATTAGGCATTGGGCATTAGAAATTAGGCATTGCTTACAGGATTTTTAGTATCACTGAAGTCATGACGAAAACAGTTTTTAAACAGACAACCCTAATAGGGATTTCTTATTTACATACAGGTTCTAAAACCTGAAGATAATGGCCACAGAATGGAATATGGAGAGTTAATGCTAGGTTGGCATGAAGATTGGTCTGAATTATATGAAAACATCCTCTGGAGTGACGAGGCTGTATTCCATGTTGGTGGTTCCATCTGTCGTCACAATTGCCATTACTGGGCACCGTGTAATAACTATCCAAACATAACGATTGTGAGGGTGCAAGCTCGACCAAAAGTGACCGTGTGGTGCGGAATTACGTCAAGAGCCGTAGGCCCAAATCTTCTGCATGACACCTTGAATATGGTCAGCTATCTTATTCGAAACCTACGTGTGGCTCGCGGTGTCTGGCTTGATTAGCATTGGTTGGCATTCCTGCTGAATGGTGCAGCAACCCATTTTGCTCTTACTGTGCGTGAGTGGTTAGACCAACATTTTCCAGGACGTTGGATGGAACGGCGCGGACATGATGAATGACCTCCAAGAAGTCCAGATCTCACTCAATGTGATTTTTACCTGTAGGGTTACACAAAAGAGATGTACAGGACAAAACCTCCCACACAGGTGGGCTTAGAGACACGGATTCAGGAAGTTCTCAATGATATCCCAGACGACGTCCTTCAACAAATTGTTCATTCCATTCTTGATCGTTTGAGAAAAATGGCTGACGTTGAAATATGAAGATTTACTTTCATTTTCTCATGTAATAAAGAACATGTATTATTTGTTTCAACAGATTTGTAATAGGAATAGGGATGTTATTAGCGGTTTTTAATTCCTACTTACATTTCACCCACCCTGTATTTAAATTGCTAGCAAAAAAACATAGATGGGGCACATAAGGTTTTTATGAGTCATATAAAGATTATCGCAAAATTTTATTTATAAATCCAGAAGATATACATCACAGTAACATATAGGATTAAAATAATATGGCATAACAAAGGAGCTTTATAAATGGTATAGGACGTATACATAAAAGGTACGATACTAACATATATTTCAACTACAAGAAAAACTTGGTTTATTTGGGAAATATATTAGAAAATCCAGAATTTATACTGTGAGCAAACCCCTTACATACAGATAAAAAATGAATTCAGTAAATGTACAAAAATAGATAGGGTCCTAAGACAAGGATTTCTCTTCTCGCCAGAATTATTCAACTTTTAAAACGAGACGACGCTGAGTGAACTAGAAGTTCTACCGGGATTTATTATTAGCGGACATAAATCTTTAAAAAAAATAAAAATATGCAGATGACACAGGGAATAGAGAATGATGCTTCCAAAAGCTAAGCAGAGTATTAAGAATCAGAAAGATGTTGT